AGGCAGATTCGGGGGGGGGGGAGCCTGGCCCTTTTGTGAGGGTCTGAGGCCCCCTCCCTGCCCCCATGTGAGCCAGGATCTGGGGAAGTCCTGCCCCTTTGGGTGGGGAGCTGAGAACAGACAAACTTCATGCATATCAATCAGTAGGTTGTAAAGCACTCTGGAGCTGGAAGGGTAACCCACTGAGATAAATGGAGCAGTTCACTCATCTCAGGGCTATTGTTTCAGACTGCATTCATCTCCATGGGGTGTTCTCATTCAGCTGAGACCCTCACATTGAGATGGATGGGCCACTTCCCACCCCTCAGAGCCTCCGATGCTGCAGATGGAAGTGTTTCCGTCCATTGTCCCTCTATCTCAGTTTAAAGAATGCTTGCAAGTGCTTGAAACGCCTCCTGCTTCTACAGATTTTCTTGAATCTCGCTGTGCTATGCAGAGTACAGTTAGTGACTCAAATTTGGGGTCATTTGAGCCACGGGTTCCTAAGATATAAGCCCTGAAAAAACAGCCATTTTTCAAAATGTTGCTAGATGTGTTTTGATTTTCGTGCGCGCGGAATGAGAGATTAATCTACTGCTGTGATGGAAGTCAAAAGGGGCTCAATTTTTACCCCAGGTGGTGCCTGGCACCTCCTAAGGCTTTGAGGGACCCAAACCATGAATGGCATTTAACATCGAGTCTGGAAGGATTACAGTGCATATGCAGCAATAAAGAAAAAAAAACATAACAGGGTTTCTTATGCAGCCTGTTTAGTAAGGGAATGTGCTGATGTCAACACCCCAGGGAACACCCCACCACTGCTGCTGCTTCTAGTCAGAGCCTTTGTCCATGTGTGCAGTAAAGATACAATAACTCACACTAGGAGTTGTGTTTAATATTTTAATTTCATGGGGAGGTTTGCTGTGAACACTGCAGAATCAGCAGCAGCTGGTCTAACGTTTGGTACAGGGAGCGTCGAGGAGCCAGAGGACTGTGTGTTCCATGTCTCAGGTGATTTCTCTCACTGGCACTGCCACAAACTTCACCCTCAAACCCTTGTGAAACTCAACCAGTAACACCATGTCTTACTGTAATGCAGCTGTCCTTCGCAGATGAGTTGGGGTATTGAGCTGGGATGTGGCAGTAATGGCAATAGAAATGTTGGTGAACTGGGGGTAGGGAGGCATGGGCTGGTGCGGTCCCAGCTGATACGGGGAGTTGGCTAGCTGGGTATGCAAATTGCAGGATATCTGATATACAAATGCCTAAATGACTAACTCCTACCACCAACATATCTTTTCCTGCTTAAAAAAAAAAACCCTAGGCAATTCAATGGCAAATTGCTCCATTAATTCAAAGTTATGGCTGCTTGGTGGTAGTCATCCCCTTGCACAATGTTAAGTAGAACAAAACTCAAACTTCTGAAACCAGAAGTGCAGTTTAGGTTGCTCATGCAACCTTAATAGACATGTTGCAGCATTGCTGAAAGAGAGTCAACACACACACCGTTATTCTGCCAACCCCACAGCAGCTGAAATGTACAAGCTCTTCACCTTCTTTCCCAACCCAGTCACTCTCATGCACAGGATTCCCTCTAACACTATTAAAAGATGGGGGGGGGGGAGAAAGGGGGCAAGGTTGTCCACACCACCTTCCCTCTTTTCCCCAGGAGATGGTAGTAGCCAGTGGAAATTATTTGGATACACTGCATGGGCAGTCAGAGTGTTAGGTAGACATATACTATATGGTGGTTGGAGTTGCTTGGTAAAGGTTTGTTTGGGATTTGAGAACATGTGTGGATTACTCTGAGGTTGTGGCTGAGCTGTGATTATGAGATGAGATCTGTTTTTCACCCTCTGAGGTGTGTGACAAGGGGAATTGTTGTATGGGTACCTTGCGGGTGCAGCATCTATCGTATCTATGCAGGAGTGGGTACATTATACTAGGGTTACTGTATTTTGAGTGTCCAAAAAGAGGACACTCCACGGGGCTCCGTCCCCGCCCCCAGCCCCGCCCACGCCCTGCCCCTTCCCCAAAGTCCCCGCCCCAATTCCGCCCCCTCCCCTGCTTCCCGCCAACATTTGATTCGTGGGAAGCCTGAAGCAGGTAAGGGGGGGGGGGAGGAGGCGCGGCCCAGTCTGGCCCCCCCGGCCTCTCCAGCCTGGGTCAGCTTGGGCCCTGGGGTGACGGTCCCGGGCCAGCCCCCGGCCGAGCACCGCCGGCCCGGTCCCCGGCCCCGCCGGCCCGGCCCAGCCCCACATGTCCCGATTTTCCCGGACATGTAAGGGCTTTTGGGGATTTCCCCCGGACGGGGATTTGAAGCCCAAAAAGCCGGACAGGTCCGGGAAAATCCGGACGTATGGTAACCCTAATTATACAGTTAGGAGGGCACAGCGATTTATGGGCCCATATGGTCTAACTCTATGCAGCTATGAAAGAGAAGCAAAAAAGTGATGTAGGCCCAACTTTTTCCCCATTGAGAATCACCTTTACAATTCAGTTTAAACCTGAACGAGCCAGTGCACATCACAGGCTTGGGGGTCTCAGGATAGGTCTACACTGAAATCAGAGATCACAGCACGGCTGCAGCTGGCCTAGGTCAGCTGACTCAGGCTCGTGGGGCAGGGCTAAAAATTGCTGCGTAGATGTTAGGGCTCAGGCTAGAAACCGAGCTCTGAGACCCGGCAAGAGATCCCAGAGGTTTGTCTTCAACCCAAGCCCGAATGTCTACACAGCAATTTTACATCCCCACAAGCTTGAGTCAGCTGATCCAGGCATTTAATTGCTGTGTAGACTGTAGCGGTGCGGGACTCACCCCTGCGGCGCCTCCTGCTGGTCGTCTCAGGGAATTAGCTCTTTCCAGTGCAGAGCATCCTCTGCAGGCCGGTGTCCCGCTGCCGCTGTCCCCCATGTCCCTCCCAGGACCCAGTGCCCCTTGTCTTTGGGGTGCTGCCCCCTGGCAATATCCCCACAGTCTCAGGGTCTCCCCACCCATGGGAACCCCCAACACTCTATCCCCACCTTGCCTCAGTCTATGGGCTACTGCCAGTCACCATCTAGCCCCCTTTCACTGGGGCCGACTGCAATCTGTATAAGCCAGTCATCATAGGCAAGAGAAGTTTTGACCTGCTGTCTTTCCCTGTAACCCAGTACCTCCAAGGGCCTTGTACAAGGCCCTGCAGCCTGGGGAGTTGCTAGCCCAGAGCTCCCCAGCTCCTCTGGCCTTTCCCCAGCCCTGCTTCACTCCAGTACCCTTTAGCACTCAGGCAGCTAGGTCTAGCTTCTCTCCTCGGCTAGAGGGAAACGGTCTGCTCCTGGCCCACTGCCCTCTTATAAGGGCCAGCTGGGCCCTTATTAAGCTAGCTTTGGCCTGATTGGGGCATGGCCCCCAGCTGAGGCTGCTTTCCCCACTCAGCCTAGGCTTGCTGCTTTCCTAGCATCAGCCCTCTCACAGTCTCAGGCCTCTCAGGGCAGGAGCGGGTGACCAGCGCGCTACTGTGACTATGGGGCCTGTTTCCGATCCTCTGTCCGTTCACGTATCCAGGCAGAGTTCCTCTGGGCGGCGTCCACTGGCTCCCTTGACGCCATTGAGGAGCAGTGGGCGCTGTCCGGGTTCTCTGCTTGGTGTCCCCGTCAGGTTCCCTTCTTTTGACTCTTTGACCACACTCCTGTCCCTGTTATTTCATTAGTTGTCTCCTGAAATCAGTTGGTTTTCAGGTCCTGTGAACCCTCCCCTTAGGCTGTGGGGGATCCTTTAGCAGTGGGCCGCCCGCCCCCTTCCTGGAACCCAAGACATACCCACAGTAAATCCTGTGCAAGTGGCCCCCGTATGTAAATAAGAGACAGAGCTTTCATGTGGGAGTGCTGCAAGCTTGGTTTTCCTCCCATGCAGCACAAAGGTTCCACGGCCAACTCCTACCCTCACTGATGCCTGTGCAGACCTGTTGTCCTTGAGGGGTATGCCAAGGTGCAACTGACCAAGACTTAATGAACCAGGCTCTGACAGCCTTCGAGGAATCAGAACAGTAACATCTTACTTTTGACACCACAATGAGCAGATCCACCGATACACACACGTTATCTGCTTAAGAAGGGAGAGCCATTTTCAGTGATGAACCACACTTTGCAGCTACCAGAACCAGGAAGCAATGATCAAATTTGCTACAAGAATATGTACAACTCTCCTAGATTTATCCAGGTTTACTGAACCACAGGGAGTGGTTCTTCCTTTCATGTCCTTTCAATATTCCTGATCTGCCCCAGCCTGGATGTTTTGAGCATGGAGATCTTCTACGTTATTCTGCTCCACTTTGTCTCAAGTGCTTTCTTGCCAATATTTCAGAATGACTCTGTTAGAGGCAGCACAATCTAGCACAGTGATGCCCAAACTTTTCCAGTCATCTCCTCACCCCCCCTTACCAGTAATGGAATCTGCCCCCCCCACACAAACCCTTCCTCCCCATTACTGCAGTTGGCTCAGCAGAAACTTGGGCGGATAGCAGAGCTGGGGGCTGAACTGGGGATAGGGAGGAGCTGGGACTAGAAGGGGAGCAGGTATGGGGGCGGACAAGAATGAGGGCAGACCTGGCTGGGGGCGAAGTGGAGCTGCAGCTGGGATAAGAGCTGGTTTGGGGGACAGAGCAAGACTGAGTGGTGCTCCCTCCCTGCCCCATACACCCCAGACATTTCTCCATGCCCCCTTAGGGGGATACACCCCACAGTTTGGGGACCACTTATATAGTAGGCAAAGGAGCAGACAGGGAGTCAGGAGTCTCAGGTTCCATGTCTGACTTTCCTAGAATCATACAGTATGTGTCTGGGCAAAACTCCAGGCATTCTGGGCCTGTTTCCCAAGATAAAGGGGGGTTGGAAGGTGCTATAAAAAGTGCAGTGTATATTCTAAGAAAATCAGACATTGCAGCTACACTAAATGGTTGCTCCTTTTCCTCTCCAAGGGCAGAGACAGGCCATCTGCTGTGGGAATCACACCCACACAAAAGCAACAAACAAATCCAGACAGCTCTATCAATAAATAGTTTAATGAGGTTACAGGTCTGCAGGAAAACATGGCCACCCTCACTCCAGCTCCATCTTCTGTCCCGCCCGTCAGGCAGGGCGCAGCAATGCACACCCGCCCAACCAGCACATACCAGACCTGTACTGCAAGGCCACAGCACCGCACTAGTCTTCACAGAAGAAACGGCTTCAGGCCCAGACACTGTCACAATTAATAATTCCCCTAGAACACACAATCTCTTCCTCTGGCCTCCGCTCCACTGCAGACAGGACGTGCTCCAAGGACCAGATGTTCAGTGGACTGCGGGTCCCAATCCACGCATGCCAAGACATCAAGACACAGGAAGATTAAATGAGTGGAAAAAAAAGGGGCGGCAACTTCAGGCTGCTCATTCCCAACTGCACGTCTTGGAGGCTGTGCTCATGGATTGGAGGAAGCCCTAGAACGGGAGTCGCTTCAACTGCTCATATGTGATAAAAAACTGGGGGGCATGTCAAGGAACAGGGCCAATGTGCTCATGCAGCCCCCTGCCCCACACAGGCTCCTGAGCACTCCAGTCGCTGCTGACCAAAGTCTACATGCAGCAGGAAAGCCAGAGCAACTCAACCCTCACAACCAGCATGGAAATCAGCACTGAGTTCCAGTGTCAGTCACTCCAAGGAGCTCCCCCCGCACTCCACACACAGCCAGCTGTCTCAGAGATATCCCATAGGTGGGAGCTGCAGACAACTCCCTGGAACCAGGGCTTGCTGGGGCATTCTGAGAGCCACTGAAGGGTTTGGCTCATTGGAAGCCCTGCACTGGTATTTCTAGGGTTAATCTGTAATGTCTGTTAGGGTGCCCACACCACTGGTCCCTTTACAGAGCTCTACGGGCACGCACTCCCCTTGTGGAAAGGAGCCCCATTGCAGAGTGGTCACAGATTCCTCCCCAGACACAACAAGCTTTTCCTCAACATACACGGAGCCACGTTCTGTACGAAGCTATAGGTGCTTGGGCAGTTAGAGCAGGATGTGAGAAGCCTGCAGGTAACCTTCTCACTGGGCTACTTAACTGCAAAGAGCTGCTGCACATCACCCCTTACCCCTAGCTGTCCAGGGCACAGGGTTTGGCTAGATGCTGTCTCGTGGGGCAGATTCACAGGGCCAGTGGTGCCTCTCTGCCAATGGCACAGCTACTCCTTCCCACTGCACAAGTACAGTGAGTAAGAAACAGTGCTACTGGTATTAAATCCTGCAGAGGCACCCAAGCTGGGATGCCCCATTCCTCCTCCTCTGAGTTCTAACATTAACCACTTGCAGGGTGGTGAAGGAGTTCCACAGGTTTCCAGCCAGGTGTCTATGGCTGCATCTACATAGCCCATGGCAGTGATGCTCCCAGCATGGGTGGACAGACTTGCACTTGTGGAGCTCATGCTAGGTCTAAAAGGAGCTGCACAGACAGCGCTTGGAAGTTGTGGCTTGGGCTGGAGCTCGGGATCTGAAGTCTGGGGGTGGGGTGGGGTGGGCTGTGCAGACATTTCTAATAGCCACAATAGGTGTGTTAACAAGGAGCCATAAACTGCAGTGCTTTTAGCATGCTGATTACACCCACCTTCACCTGTCCATTCCACCCAACCCAGTCACTGCTGCTTGAATACCTGGGCCAGCATCTGGAGGAGACTGGGGTATGGATGAAAGCTAGTTGGCTGGCTGGAGTTCAATCCAGACAGGTGTTGCTGGGAGGAAGCAACCCGCAGTTATGCCAAGGCCAGTATCTCCCCTGTGATCGAGGATGATTGCTGAAGACTTGTTACTTGTCTATGGAATGGGGGCTGTGGTGGATGCTCATCTGCGGTTGGAAAGTCCCAATGCAGCAGTGACTGGGGTAGCTTTTACCCATCTACAGCCGGCCAGGAGATGGGATTTCTCTCAAATACAGATCTTGCTATTGTGATCAAGGCCTTTGTCTCCTTAAACTTGAATTGCTGCAGTTCAATTTACCATGGGGCTGCAACTTCATCTACCTGGAAACCTAATGCTGGTGCACAATGCAGGCCCATTTGCTAAGCAGTGCCACTAGTGGCAGCTCATGATACCACCCTCCATGATCTGCACTGGCTGCCTATTGAGTTTAACATGTGTTTTGGCCTATAAGGCTCTGAACTGCTAGGGAGCTGCCTACTTGAGACATGCCTCTGCCCATGCCATGCTGCCACCAACAGAGACTCTTGGGCTGGGTGAGTACTCTCTGTTAGGGCCTCTTTTCTTGTAATCACACTCTGACAAGGCCCCAATAGCCCTAATCGGCTGAGGTTACAAGGCATGCTGTAAAGCCCACCAGTGAGGCAGCGGCGGAAGCAGCTGAGGACAGGTTTGTATGGGAGGAAAGTGCATGGAGATTTTCAGCTCTACTGGTCACATGATTGGAAAGCAAACTGCTGTGGCTGACTGTTATTTTGGCAGCTATGTCTGAATAGTGTAGGACTGCACCCAGCAGGTAGGAGTTACTCTAGAGTACACTTGCTGGAACAGGTTAGTCCTGTTGGCCCCATTCCCTGCCACATGCTCACAGAAGGACAGAAAATCTGCAAGGCAAAGTCTGGTGGAATTTCTCCTACAGTCGTGTTAGGGGTTACCGCAATACAGCTAAATGCCAACACAAGGCAAGGCCGCACTGCCACTTCCAAGAGGAAAATACCGCAAGAAGCCTTCCTTGAGGGGGCACTATGGCTAGAAGGGGAAGGGGAGTGGTCGAACCCCAGGGAAGCCCAGCAGAGGGAAGTCTCTAACCCTCCCAAACAGCTGGGACAGGATAGAGGGCTCAGCTGGCTGCCTCTGCCTCTCCAGTACATGTGCTTCCCACACTGGGAGGAGACATTTTTCAGAAAAGTAAAAAAGGGTCCAGTACAAGGCTGTACAGGGCTTGAGGTACAGGATAAATGCAAACATTTATCTGCAAACAGTGCCTGTTCCGATCACCTGTCCCATGCATCCCAAGGCTTTCCCCAGACTTCATCCCAAAAGCAGGAGCCTGCCCAGAGACTGCCAGGCCCAAAGGGCTCAGAACAGATATGGGGAACCTCAAACAAAGCAGTTCAGGGTGCTCACTCTAATGAAGGTTCCTTACAATTATGAAGCCACAGAAGAACTCCCTACTCTTGTGACACAAGGGGGACAAAGGACTAGCCCCTCAGCAGACTACATTAGAAGTTACAATGCGCACCCTGCTGGTTTCTTGGCCATACAGCAGGTTGCAGCTGTGCTGTATCCTGCAGGAGCACTGTCCATGAAGGGCAGGAAGTTCATCTGAGTTGGCCATTGCAGGGAAGACAGAGCCATGACTTGATTTGGTTAATGGGGACAATGGTGCCTGTCTAGAGCGAGAACCATGTCTGCCTTGGGTAGTTCTTTATGTCCTGGCCTTTCTCCAGCTAGCTGCACCCACACTGTCACCCAGTCACTCTTTAAAGGATACAATGATATTCCAAGGGCCAAGCCGGAGCCAGTTGGGCCAGAACCCTTTATAGAGTGCAAAGAAGCCCTCACTCTTCCATGTCTGGAGAAGAGAGAGACAGAGTGACCATGAGATGCTCCCCAAGCTCCTGATCATGTGCACAATGAAACAGGGTGCTTTCTGCTACAACGACTCCAGTAGTGTCCTAGTTGCTCTTGCCCATTCCTGGAGACGTGGTCTCCCCTCCCCACATACAATGTAGCATCCTCCAATACAGAACAACTCCAGTTTAACTGGGCTGGTGCAAGGCAAGATGTTCTTCTCAAAGCGCTGCTCTAAGAATTAGTTCGGGGCAGTTCTCTGCCCTGTGTTATACAGGGGGTCAGACTAGAGGACACAATGGTCCCTTCTGGCCTTGGAATCTATGAATAAGATCTTGGGCTGTCCCTGCTCTGACAGTCTCTCTCGCAACTCCCAGAGTCCCATTTCACAGGAGCAGGCCCGGGGGCAGCTCCTCAAGTCCATGTTTGTTGCACTGCAAGACATTCCCTGAGAAGAATGCTCCATGGTTGGTGCCTTTTGCTGCGGGGATCAGAATCACATGTGACATCAGAACCTGTTCAGGCTCAACTGGGCCCTGATGGCTGTGACCCCACTTGCCCAACACTATCTGGCTTCTTACCTTTACTAGACCATCCAGCGTGCCTTTATAGAGCTCCACACTCCCCACTATTGCCCTCTGGTTCATCATCCGTGTTCGCACCACGTCCACTGGGTTGGAGGCAATGGCTCCGGCCAGCCCACATGTAAAACTGGAACTAAATGCATCAGAGCATTAGAGGCTACTCCGGGCCCAGGCTGGTGACATGCCTCAGACAGACCTGAGGGCACAGAGAGAGTGCTCTCCAAAAGAACATAGTGCAGCTAACTTTTTTTGCTCAATCTGCTCTCACGCTGTCTGTTGCCATCCAGAAACCCATGGTGCAGGCAAGATGCACATGCCATCGCTCAGGCAGGAGGAGCACAATTATCATTGCAACCATCTCCTAAATCCGAGCCCCCGAGGTTGTAATGCCCCATGGGGCTTGGGGATGTTTCAAGCCTCTCCTAAACTTGGATTCAGGGACAAGCTGCAGTTTCTTGCCACGACCCATGGAGATCCGCCAAGGGCTGTGGCACTGCAGTCATGGCAGGTGGGTTTGGGAAACCTGCAGGGGCTGAATTCAAGGACTGGGTGCATGGCTGGTGTTGGGGATGCTTCTGCAGAGTGAGTGCTGCAAGAGCAGAAGATCCACACTGAGAATGGCAGCAGGGTAGAGCAGGGCAAAAGCATCAGTGTTGCTACTCCCCTCCCTTGTCCTTGTTCTCACTGTACCCTGGTGACTTCCTCCCTCCAGCCATGTGGTGCAAACTCAGTGGGTGCCCCATAGCACCCCCAGCTAAGAAACCCTGACAAAAGAATCACCCCACTGAACCACTCCGCAGCAACAGCATAGAATCAGAAGCCAGAGCAGGGGAGGAATGGGGAATAAAGTAGCTAGGAATGCAGCAGCTCATTTCACATGCTCTGCAGAATTCCTATTCCACAACTCCCTTCACCTCTCCTCCTGTAAGTTCCACTGGGATCCTAGCTGGGAGACCTGCAGCCCCTACTGCCCACGTGCCAGGCAGCTGAACTGCTGTGGAACTGCTCTCTGTAGACCCCCCCAAGTGGATGCCACTGCAGAGCCGCAGTCCTTGCCCCTTGGGTAGGATCTAGCCAAACTGCTGGCATTGCATTCAGCATAACTAGGAACAGGTCAAGAGTTAACACCACAGGCTGCACTGCACAGTTACATCCTGCCCTTCTCCAGCAGGTCTGACTGGCAATGCCTACCCCCACTGGATCCAAAGAGAGTAGAGGGGATTGCAGGTACTCACACGAAGTGGGCAAGGATCGTATCCCCCATGAACCCTGAGAGGATCAGGTGCTTCTTGGTGATGTCATACACTGGCAGCTCCACTCCAACCACAATGGCAGCTCTCTGCGCCGTGGGGACTACACCCTACCAAACACAAGCACTCAATTTACCACTGGAGGCAGGGCCTCCTTCCTCCTAGACACTCTGCAAAGCCCTCCCATGGCAGTCAGTCCTGCAGCCCACTGACCACGCCTTCTGGCTGCCTTCCTAGTTCACCAGCTGCACTTGCCCTTGGATAAGGGAATCCCGCTGTATCTTGGTTTTACTCCCAGACCCCTCCTCCCTTTGGGCATGACTCCCCTTCCCGGTTTTAAAGCGTTATGCCTGGCATCACTTCACTAGCGACATGAACTGTGTCTCCTACCACTCTGCCCCCTGGCCTGTAGCCTGGCTGAATCAGGCTCCTCACCTGCTCCCAGAGACCCCAGCTGAAGCCCTCAAATCACTCAACTTCTCCCACTGGGCAGCACCTAACAAAACTAGATGCCAGCAGAGATTAACCAGAAACAAGATGCAGCTATGCAGGGGCCATGTGGGGCCAAGTCCTTCCTGTCAGACCCCAGTCTCTGTTGCACCGAGGCCTATGATCTGGGAATCCTTCATGTTTTACTAGACTTGCAAAAGCGGGGCTGAGCTGGCAGACGGTCGCTCTGGCCTGAGAACAGGTTATAAAACAGCTGAAGGAAACAAGAGTAAGTTGGAAAGAGCCACCTGAACTGACTGCGAAGCAACCCTCAAGGACTCCAAACAGATGACCCATTTTCACAACACTGGATGAGAAATTCCTGGGTCAGAGAAAAACCATGGGCAATGGACTGGCAAAGTAGATGGGACAGTGATGGCTGCCCCCTCGGGGCACTGCAGTGAAGTGTAAGGGCATCAATGTCCTGGAGGCCACTATCTCACCCAAAGGAAAACCCTTTGGCCTGCGTATGCTGGGGGAATTCTTCAATACATCCAGCTGGCAAACAGGCCAATGAGGAGTTGCGGCCCTCAGACCACACCAATCTGCAATGACCTGAGGGAGGTTGATTTAAGAATCCCATCGCCCATCCCTCACAAGCTGTTTCATGTCTATCCTCTTCCCTATCTTCTTTGGCTTCTGTGTAACTATTTCCAAACTTGGCCAGCTACAGCATTAATTCACCTCCACACTACCATTGCCACAACCAGTATGACAGGCTGAGGCAGCACAAGCAGGCTCACATCAGCACGAAGGAGAGATGGCAGGAGGTGGCCAGGGCTTGCTAGCTCTTAGACCAGGAAAGTGAGCTGGGGCCAGGGCTAGCACGCACCCACTTGTGACTGACCTGACTGTGTACTGTATCCTGCCTGCAGCACGTGTCCGTGAGACAGATGTTTTCCTTTCATTTCTATCCTCTCTTCCCTCTCGTGTGCATTTGTCTAGAGAGCAGGAATAATCTTAACAGTAACCACTGAGCCAAAACCAGCAGTGGAGACTGACCCCAGACCCCACCCCTCCAGCCCAGGAGGCTCTGGAGCAAGTGAGAGACTTAGGGACAAGTATCTTCCCTCTGAAGGATTGTACTGAATGCAAGGAAGAGATAAAGGGGAACGCTCCATTTGGGAAAGCCATCTGACTTGGGAATCCCAGTACTGGAGCTTGCTCCAGTTTGGGTTTGCTGGTTGAAGTCCATGGAAGAATTTCTACAGGTCACTATAGTAAAAGCAAGCCAAAGTATCTTACCACAAACCCCAAGCAGCGTGGCTAACAGTAACAAGTGGGCTCTAAAGAAGCTTAACACCTTTAAGCTCAAGATCCTGTCTTCACAATCTGCCCTTCCAGCAGTCAGCAGGAAGCTGCCATCCTGCTGTCATTCATACACACAGGGCAACTTCCAGGCAACAAGGGATAGGGGGTCTCAGGCTGGACACGAGGCAGAGCTGAAGCTGGTGCAGAACATTAACAGTGGATTTTCTCACCTTCAAACAATTTGTGTCTTTATACTGAAGTGTTCTGGTGAGGACATTCAAGGAAAACCACTTGCTGACATTGAGAATTCCTCCTCCTGACAGCATGCCCAGCCTCAGGCTTCTATGAGGAGACTACGAGCTATTCTGCTGAGCTCTGCAGACTCTTCCCCACTATGTCACAAGGGTGTGCTCAAAACCCACTCAGAGATACCCAGGCTGAGTCACTCTCCAAGAGGTGAGCTAGGGGGAGGAACAAGGAGTCCTGCAGGGAGAAGCAAACTGCCCGACCCTACTCTGCATGTTAACTATTCTGCGACTGTACATTCTGGGAAAGGGGCAGGTTTTGGAAAAGACTGGACTCTGTGCATGAGGGGACCTGCTCCATTCACATCCTGCTTGTATCCCAATCCAGCACATACACAGAGTGACTTTAGCCACAGTTTCCCCATGGACAGCAGACAAAACAGCAAGGCTGCTCCTGTCCTTGGCCCGTTCACTCTCCAGATGCTTCACTTACGCCAAGGGATAGCAGCACACTGGGATCAGAAGGTGAACTCACCACCTGGCTTTAGTCAGCAAATGGCAGCTGAGGAAGCAGCTTACTCTTCTGCTGCTTGAGTAGAAAGGACTCTCAGCAGTGGGTGCTTACCCTCCAGAGCCCCCGTGTGCCTTCCTGCTGGTAGATATCGATGAAGCTGCCAATCATGCCCCCCTGGAATAAGCTGCCTTGAGCTTGCATTCGAATCTGAAATGAGGGGACAGATTCCATCAGGCAGCAGTGGCTGCAAAGCAGTTATGTCAACATACAGATTCAGCTCCCATCTAGGAGGGGAAAAATAGCCACGTATAGCAGAGCAACATCCAACTGCCCAGTGGAAGAGTTATTCAGGGGCCAGGAAAGTGAATTTGGAGGAGTGGCTAGCAGCTCGCAGCACCATGAAAATGACAATGGACTGGAGAGGGCAGGACCTTATAGGACTAGCTAATGGACCTCAGTGCTCAGAGGTGAGACAAAGAACAAAGCCAGGGAGGCCATTTCTTTTTTTAAACAGAGGCTGAGCCCTGTGTGAATTCAACCAAGAGAGACTCCCGCAGATGAGGCTCCCCTGGACCTAGCACCAGGACAAAGAACAGGCCAGGCTGGGCTCTGCAGTCACTCGCAGGACTGGAGTAACAGAGGGCTACAGATCAGAATGGAGGTGCATCACCAGAGCTGCGTGTAGTGGCCATGGGGAAGAGGGGAGAAGGCTTGTGGCATGCCTGGCTACCGGCCAGCACTCTTAGCCCTTTGCACAGTTCACCCAGTGCGCTTGAGCTCCAGAGGATCTTTCACCACAGAGCTCAGCAGCTGCATTTTCCATCTCCTTCCTGCACTGGGCTGTGGCTTGGAGGGCAGTCTGCTCCAGCTGGAAGACATGCTGCTTTAAAGGAAAGAATCAGTTTAATCATATCAGAACCTGGCCCAGCAGGGATGATCCCACAAAACAGGCACCTCTTACCTTCAGCACATCTGTCGGGTTGGCCAGCGTGGACGAGATCACCCCTGAAACCACTCCACAGATCATGTTGATTAGCAGCGTCTCATCTGCAATCAAGCAGGGGGAAAGAAGGTCAGAGCCCAGAGATGGTGATGCAGGGACCTACCAGAGAAACTGAAAAGCTTTGGGAAGGAAAGGATGGAAAAGTCCAGCTGCTAATGCAGAGAGCAAAGCTGTGGGGTGCAGAGACCAACCAATTAACTGTACACTGTTGACAAACCTGTCCCCTAGCTGCCAGGGCCCGAAGACAGTGGCAGGGATGTTGGGGCTTCAGCAGTATTCCACAGAGGAGAAGGCAGTCTCTGAACTCAGAGCCTGGCAGATCAGGAAAGAAGAAGATTGCCAAGCACCTCATTTCTAGAGGCAATTATCTGTAATTTCAACCTCCCCAATGGCATTGTGAGCTGATTTCATGGCCACTGGATTTGCGAATGATTTTTGGGTCATCCAGTGCTGTAGAGCTTTGAGCTGGAATCCTTAGCGGCTGCATCCGAAACACACACAGGACAGAGACTGGACAGCCCAGACAGAGTGGGTTAGGAGCAATTAGTTCAGAAGGAAAAGCCTCCAAGCCCAGAGTTAGAGCAGTGGTTATGCTGGGAAAGGGCAATGGTACTGACCGCAGCACTCTCCAGAGGAGACCAGGCCACTGGCAGCCCCAGCCCTGCAGAGAAACAAACATTTAGGACTCAGTACCAAGCTGGAAGTGCTGCAGCAGCAAATGGAAACAGACAACTTGTGACCCAATTCACATTCCATGGAGTCAGATGCAGGGAAGGACCATCACTTGTTAGTTAGGGCAGCACCTGGGACTGCATTCTATCCCAGGCTTGCTGCATGGCTGTGGGCAAGTCCTTCCTCATCAGTAACTCAGGGGCCCACCTCTTGAGGTGGGGACTGCAAGTCAAATCCATCAGGGTTTGTCAAACGCTCAGAGCTCCTTGAGAGAAACAGCATTGGATTTTTATTGCTTCAGTGTAGGTGAGAAGAGTGGAGATCCTGTGGCCTGCCCCAGAGCAGCCAGGAAAGCACATCTCAGGACTGTTCACACACGTCCAGCTCTGGAGAAAGGGAGAAGGCACAGAGCTAAGGGGACGATAAACTCTGAGCAATGGCACTGGGGCTCAAAGCCTCTGGCAGGGTGATGGGAAAGGTTAGTTAACCAAGCCTTAAACTGCTACTGTGCAGGGGCAGTCCCGGGGGGTGGGGTGGGGTGGGAAGGGGCTTTGTCCTGAAGGCAGCTGGGAAACTGGAATGATAAATAAGAATCAGATACTTTGAGGAAGGCGAGGTGTTATCTAGGCCTCAATTCTGAAACTGCAAAATGGGGATAATTCTTCCTTTCCCCACCCTTTTTTCTGTTTAGATGGGGAACACTTGGGGGCAGGGCCTGCCTCTCATGTGAGTCTGAGCAGCAACCAGCACATTGGGACCGCTATCATTACATAAAAAAAAAAATCATCCCCAGTGTTGGGACAGCAGGAAACGGAATACAACTCAGCTTCTTTGGGATTCAGCAGCTGGGCCGGGTAGAGAAGGGAAAGAACCAAGAAATTGAATGGGTGGGGGCCTGGCCTCAAGATTTCACATTGTGCCCTTTGTGACAGTCCCACAGGTATCTCAACATGAGGCTTCACTGACACTGACCTTCTAAGCGATCTACAAACAGCCGCTTCAGGCTCTGGTAAATGCCAATCTTTATGGTGCCATAAGATGCCTGTCTCAGCAATGCAGGAGCAATCCTGCAAGGGCAAATAAACACAAGATCTGGTTACATGCTGCACGGCCTGCTAGCACCACTGTGCCCCTGCAGGCTCCAGCATAGCTCACTCCCCCTCAGATACAGGCTCCAGTATGCACAGCTCATGTAACACGCACACCTGTTGTGGGCTCCCGTGCACTGACAAGGGAGCTCAGCATCACAATACCTCCATGGATTTTGAGAACAGGCCAAGACTGGAATAGCAGAGGATGCTGTATGGTAAGGGATAAGCCCTTCAGCAGGATGGGCTCATACAGACCCTGTCTGCGCTGCGGGTTGCTCATGGCAGAATTACCAGTTCAAAGATTATTGAGTGCCAAACTCAGCCCTTCTGAACATGAAGAAAAGGAGAAGCCTGGACTTGCTTGTCCGTATTCTAGTGCCTGACACAAAACTGCTTTGAAGGGGCTTTTACAAGACACTCAGCAAGGAGACAGTTACCCCCTACTTCCCCACCTTTATGTCACTGTTATACAGATAGCAGCTCCCAAGAGGTGGCCAGCTATCACACCCACATGCCTAACGCCAGTGAGAGAGGCAAAGTGCTGTCTGAGAAGTACGACTTTGCACGTACTTGGCATGGCATGGGGATGGACTGGCAACACATCTCCAAAAGCGCCAGACCCAAATATGTTTAGACTATAGCAGCCTAGCAGGCTTTTGGAGAAAGAACAAAGAGGCTGGCCTGCCTGCTCCCCCCCCCCCCCACTCTCCTCTGGGACTTTCTGCATCTTTATTTGGATATTTGAGACCCATACATCATCTTGGGACACTGACCAAACAGACTAGCTGCTGGAGAGTCCAAGGACTAGAAGGAGTTTCACCTAGACTTGCAGTGACAGGCTGCGTTCCCAGGCTTTTTAACCAACATTCAGTAGAAAAGATGTGGCGGTGGCTCAGTATGGGAAAAGGGAGAGCACATGGCCACAGGTCAGACTGTAGCCCTCTCCCCGAAGGGTGCAGCAGGGCAAGGTGCATGGGGTAGGGGACTCTGCACACCTAGGATATCAAGCAGAGAGCCTTTTGCTGGGAAAAAGAGGCATCAGACCTTACCCGGAATAGAGAGCCAGAATCCCCTCCTCCTTATAGATGCGGAACAAGGCATGAAACATGCCCCGGTACTTGATCTCTTGGAAGCGAGCATCAACGCTTTGACCTTGCACTTGGAGGCGCGTTTTGGTGAGGTCCACAGGAAAGGTCCCTAAAATGGAGAAAGGCTCCAGGTGAGGGGGAACAGCACCCCAGGAAACAGACTAGCACCCATCAGGTCTCTGGCGCCCAGAGGGCCAGCACCTCAAACAAATCTCTTGCGTTAAAGAGCTCAAACAGACTGCACAGAGTAAAGTCACACAGAGAGGCTGCCTCCCATCCCACCTCCTTTGTGCCCCTGGGACAAGGACAGGTACTTTATATTACAAGACCAGAACCAATCATTGTGATGGTCGGACTGGCTTCTTGCACAACACAGGCCAGAGAATTTCAGCTAGCGATTCCTGTATTGAAACTAACAATATGTGGGTAAACTAGAGCAGATCTTTTTAGAAAGAGAGATCCAGCCTTGACTGAAAGACTGTGGTAGGGAATTCATCTTTGGAAGTTGGCCCCATGGCTAATTGTCTTTACTGTAAAAAGCGGCCCCTCGTTTCCAGTCCGAGTTTATCTAGCTTTCAGCCACTAGAGCTTGTTGTGCCTTTATCTGCTATGACACAGAGCTCTCTACTGCCAAAAATCTCCCCACACAAGTGCGTGTAGTATCTTAACTGTCTCAGGCGAGCTACAGAGAGTCTGCTCCTGCAGTCTGCCGCGGGAAGGCGGGTTTGCCAGACCAGGCTCAAATCGGTCTTGTAGCTTCTCTCTGCAAACACCCTCTCCGAAGCGTGCAACCCTACAGACCCAACGCCACTCCCCTGGCCTGCTCACACTCTCCCCCGCAGCGCGGCGCCGGGAGCCCAGCCCAGCGTCTTGCCCGCCGTTACCACGAGCCCTTCCAGGGGCCAGCCTGCCAGGAGGGGCGCAGCTCCCCGCCCCCGGCTAAAGGCTCCCGGGGTACAGCCCAGGGGCGCGACCCCGCGCCTCACCGAACTCGGCCACCAGGGAGGCAAGCCCGCCGTACACGAAGGGTTTCCAGTTTAGCGCGGACATCGCATGGCGGAGCGGGGCCCAGGACGGACCGGACACGGGACTTCACGTCACAACAGCGCGTGCCTGAAACGGACCGGTACTAGGGAGAACAGATTCGACGCGGCAATGGCTGCGCGTGCGCGGAGCGGAGTTCCCGCAAGAGAGGCTGGGGGCGGGGCTAGGGCGTCCTTCGGTCGCGCCTTCTGGACGCACAGCCGCGCGAGCGACGGCGCCGAGCAGTGACGTGAGCGGAGATCAGCAGCGTCGGGCTTGTTGTCCCTTGGTGCAGCAGGGCCGCCTCTTTCGATTGGACAGTGTCCCTTCGCCCAGCGTGGTGACGCACGGACCCCGCTCCCCGCTGTGCTGGGGCGGGTTTTACTTTTTTGGCCCAATCAGGTTTGTTATGGGTGGTTGTCCTGGCAACGCGCTCGGCACGACCACCGTGAACCCACTTCGTCTTCTCCTGTCCAGACAGCTCGGGTGGTCCCCAGGCTGGCTGCGCTGGTGCTCCGAATCCGGGGAGTCCTGGCCCCACTGCGCGCAGCCTGAGGGCGAGTGTTGCGGGAAGCCTCCTTTGCGCGTGAGGGAAAGGGGAGAAATCCCGCCCCTCGCCCGCGCAGTCAGCGCCGGGGGGTCAGACCGGCCCGGCCTCTGCAAGGTGCCTCGCCAGGTTTGTGTTGCCGCACTTACAGAGCACTAGCTGCTGCAGCCAGGGAACCTCTTCGCCCCAGACAGCAGGCCCAGCGTTTCTGGGGATACTCTGATGTCTGGCCCTACCTCTGCGCCCGGCTGGCTGAAGCCACACCCACCGAGGAAAGGTGTCAAATGTGATTCAAGTGCCACCCCCCATAGGGCTAAACATGTCCCTGGGAGACAGATTGCTACTGCAGTGATGTGAGACTGGCAGTACATTGGCACAAGAGTACAGTAGGAACCCATTCTGCAATGGACACAGGGACAAAAGAAGCAGGACTTGCTGCCATTCTAGATGGTGTGGCACCCATGAGTCTGGAATACTTCAGAAGTTGCATATCGCTTAGGACCAAAGGAGAAATGGTCTGAAGTAAATAGGATGAAATTCAAGAAGGACACATGCAAAGTACTCCATTTAGGAAGGAACAATCAGTTGCACACATACAAAATGGGAAATGACTGCCTAGGAAGGAGTATGGCAGAAAGGGATCTAGGGGTCATAGTGGATCACAAGCTAAATATGAATCAACAGTATAACACTGATGTTTGGTGTTTTTGCAGCATTCTGGGATGTATTAGCAGGAGTGTTGTAAGCAAGACACGAGAAGTAATTCCTCCGCTCTGATTAGGCCTCAAAAGTGGAGTATCATGTTCAGTTCTGGGTGCCACGTTTCAGGAAAGATGTGGACAAATTGGATAGAGTCCGGAGAAGAGCAACCAAAATGATTAATGATCTAGAAAACATGACTTATGAGGAAAGATTGAAAAAAATAGGTTTTTTAATTATCTCAACAACATAAAGTGTTGATAAATGTTATAGTGAAATGCTTGACCACACTTTGGTTAAGATTATATATATATATATATATATTTTTTTTTAAAGAGACCAAACAACCAATGTCAGGTTTATTGCTATAAGCCAATAAGAATCTAGTACAGGAAAATGGTATCATAGTGAACCTATCTCCATTAAAGCACCTTGTACAACATTGTTACATTCACCTTATGCAGCAGGTATGCTCCCAAGGTTACACCCCTCAAGCCATCTTTTTATACCCTACCTGTTTACAGATAAAAGGTACGTTATATGTCATCTAAAACTAGATTTAACTATTCAGCTTTCTACCTTATCTTTCTGGTACCATGGTGTACCCCTCATCTCTTTGTTCTGAACACATGCATTCGAGGTCCCAATGAGCATGAAGGCACCTCCTAGATTTGTACTAAGGTAGAACAATCATATCCATCCTGGTCCTTTGGGACTCTCCAGTACTGGCCTGTGAAAATCCCTACCTGTTGCTATGGTAAAATAATCATAGGCCCTGATCCAGACAACTTTTGTATCTACTTAACCCAAGCTTACTTCAACTCATGCAAGGTATTATGAGATACTTAACAGAATTATAGTAAAGGTATAGACCAATTTAGACTACATAACTGCTACAAAATATTTGTGCTTAATGCATTCTAATGTATATGGTGCAGATAATACATAATACAATATATATGCTAGCCAGCATGTATTGGTCAACATGAAAATACCAACCAACCACATCTATGGGCCATCATTCACCTGAATGGATTGATAGCCCTGGTATGTTTTTCTCAATATATGTTTTAGTTTAAAACATCTTATTCAAACTAAAGTTTATTCTTTTCACTGTTTCAAATTGAGTGAAGTTGGCAGAAACTTTTTTAGCTGCCATTTGCTATAGCAAGACATCTAGATAATTTAAAAAAATTTCTAATCAAGTATTGTGAAACATTTCAAATTCAGTAACAGCATTAAGACCCGTAAAGGGCCTGTTAATCCTTTCCTTACTGCCCAGGTGAACAATGCTGGTGGCTACAGCTGGCCATTGCCCATTGTGACATTAGCTCACAGAAGTTGGCAGGATCCCATAGAACTGGAAACTGGACCACTATGCAGAGGGACTGGTCAGAATTATAACTGACGAGGTTTGAAGTGATAGAACTTAGCCATTACACACAGGGTCAGCAGCGGACTGTGCACTGCCCAGGCCCTGGCCACATGAGACAGAACTCATCTTGATGGAGACTAAGATACTCCTTGATAACAAATGTTGCCATTAGAGTGTAAACTATTTCACTGCTTAAAGCATGTAAGAAAGGAGAGGGATGATCACAATGTGCAGCTCTGCACAATCTTCTGTGACAGCTTCTTTCAGTACCACAAGTGCTGGGCTTGGGTGACATCCCCTCCCCCTACTCTAGGAGCCAAATTCCAGGAACCTAGCTGTCAGGGTGTTCCCCCCCCCCACTCTGAACTCTGGGGTACAGATGTGGGGACCTGCATGAAAGAACCCCTAATTTTATATTCTACCATCTTAGATTAAAACTTCCCCAAGGCACAAATTCCTTTCCTTGTCCTTGGACAGTATTGCTGCCACCACCAAGTGATTTACACAAAAATTCAGGGAAGGGTCACTTGGAATCCCTATCCCCCCCAGAATATCCCCCCCCAAGCCCCTTCACCCCCTTTCCTGGGGAGGCTTGAGAATAATATACCAACCAATTGCCTTAGCAATGTGAGCACAGACCAGACACTGTCTTCAGGACACTGAAAATCAATCAGGTTATTAAAAGAAGAACTTTATTTATAAAGAAAAAAATAGAATCACACCTGCAAAATCAGGATGGAAGGTAACTTTACAGTGTAAATAAAAGATTTAAAACACAGAGGAATCCCCTCTGGCTCAGCATCACAGTTACAAAACCAGGAATAAAACTACTTCTGTAGCATAGGAAAATTCACAAGCTAAAACAAAAGCTAACCTAATGCATTTCCTTGCCCTACTTACAATTTTTGTGGTTTTTAGATGGATTATTCCAGGTATATTTTGTCCGGAGAGGGAACAAACAAAGAGAACAACAACAAATCCTTCCCACACCCCGGATTTTAAAGTATCTTCTTTCCTCATTGGTCCTTCTGGTCAGGTGCCAACTAGGTTATTTGAACTGTTTAATCCCTTACAGGTAAAGCAATCCAGTACAGCTGCCAAGGAGGGATTTTATGCTACTGCATACATAAAGGTTGCTACCTTTGCACCTATATTTATGACACTAGCAGACCCCAATGGGGTATCTATTGCCTCCAAAGGGGGAGTGAAGCTTAAGAAGCTCAGCATGGTACAAGCTTGGGTGAGGGGAAACCAAACCCACAAAAGGCAGCAGAGTCCATGAGTGTATTTGGACCCACTGAGTGGAGCTCAGAGAATGCACAATCCACTATAGATGGCATTGTGTGCTAGCACAGCTTGGAAAAGTAAGGTGGCTGTACTCGTTTACTTGGACCCTAGCATATAGGAACAGCTGGGTGATATTCTCTGGGCTGTGTTATACAGGTGGCCAGAATGGATGGCCAGAATGGTCCCTTCTGGCATCTAGACATTAGGACACTGCTCAGCAACAGGCTATGGGGACCATGGCAGGTTTTACCATGAGGCAGACTACATTTCTCTCCCTGCTCTCCAAGGAATACAAGCTATATTAGCTGCATTCGGCCTTTTCCCTCAAGGGTTTAAAGGTAGCACTTAGACTGCTTTCAGACCCTTAAAATAAAAACATACAAAGTTAGAATAGTATCTTCCAGCAGGAGTAGGACAGCGCTTTGTACAAACTGTCATAGTTATGGCGCGAGCTGCACCTCTGACCTCTCTCTGATCTCTGAAGGCACCCTCCTGAAGTCACGGACTTTTATCTTCCTTGAGGTGGACTCTGACAGTTTTCCCAATCCTAGGCCATGCCGTGTGGTATACCACACTCTGCATCAACTGGGCTTACCCAGCAGGTCTGACTTGGCATCTCTAGTTCCTCCCTTCGGGAGCTTGTGATCAGCACAGAATACAGTGGCCCAAAACATTCTCATTTTAAATCAGAAGTATTGTTTAATCTTAACCGTAGGAACAAAGCATAGCATAGTTTTTTTTAAAAAAGACATCTACATGCATGTCTATCTTACCTAGAGTCCTGGGCAGGCCTACTTCAGACCCCTACCATCTGTTCCCCCATCCTTGAGAGACAGTCTTTGTAAAACCAGCCAAAGTTCTTTATTCTCAGTTCCCCAGACAGGGACAGCCCTGCCCCTGACAGACTCAGCACAGGATTGGAGGTAGTCAGCCTCTTCTTAAATTAACCCCTTTTATTCATACAACAAATCCCCTTACAGCAATCAGACACACATATAGAACAAAGTGTTGATAAGCAGCCCCAGACTGGTCACACGCTCTCTCTCAGGGATGACCTGAAGCAGGCCGTTTGTTCGAAGTAGTTTTATTATTCCTAGAATAGTAAAACAGCCATAGATCTGGAGGGAGGAGGTAAGCATTAAATGACATTTAAAACAGTAAGCTATCCTGACTCCACAATGCAACACTTGGGAATTCATGGCAGTAGCAAACAGCCACATTAGAATTCCTCAGCTGACATAAATCCAGGTTATATGGACTACTGAAGACACATTCACCACTTGTGTCAGTCTAGGCAAGGAACCCTCACCAACAGAACTGATGACACAGGTTATTTCCGAGAACTACAGGGGCCAGCAATGAAGTGGCCAGACAAAGCTCATTACCTGGGAGGCATCTCACTGTTATTAACAACACAGGGCATTTACTGTAGATTGCAACTTGAGTGTCCGCCCTAGACCTCAGCCATTTCCACCAGCTAAGACAACAGCAGGAGGGTGCCTGGCTCTCTGGTCCTTGAGGAAGGACTGCAGGAACAAGGAGCAGAGAGATAAAGCTGATGGAGGAAAATACGGTGCTATTTCACTGCACTCACAGAGGCATAAATGCTTGGAGTTTAGTAGGAGAGAGGCTTCGAGGCAAGCTTAGAAATGGATTCAACAGGTGGGGTTTTCCTCCCCCTTCCAATTACTAGCTATCCACAGTTTTTCTCCACAGGGAGCACCAGTGGCCTGGAGTACTGCTCAGTCTGCAGTCACAGGACAGGCAGGTCAATAGCGGCTGGAGTCCCGAGAGCTAGACAGCTCTCTTTCCCTGGCATGCTGGTCCCTGGTGCTTTTCTCCCATCGCTCTCTTGATCTAGTGCTCCCTAGACATTCCTCTTGTCTGCTGCTTCGGCCTTCCCCCTTTCTGTTCTTGTCTTCTGCCTTTTCCTCCTTCCAGGCACTGCTCAGACCCTTTTGCTCCTGGTGCCCCTTGTCCCCTCGTCTCTCCACAGCTCTCTTGCAGCACTGCTCTTGCTCAGGTTCCTCTTCCAGATAACTCCTGCTTGCATGCTTTCGCCTAGACCCATTCCGGGACTGCTGCCTTGGGTTAGCATATTGGTCATAGGCAGAGTCTTCCTTTTCCTTTTTAATCCAGGCTGTGGGAGGTGGCTCTCCTGCAGGGAGGGCCCTCTTCACACCT